TCTAAAAGACCTCTAAACACAGGCTATCCTTAATCTTTCGCGTGAGAAACCGTACCAACCTCAAGAAGTTTAATTTTGGCTACTTTGAGCTGAAAGCTTAATTTTCTATGAAGATGGTGTTCTTTTGGAACGCTTTGAAGCTGAAATGTCGCCATTGCAACTTTAAGGAAAACTAAAAATTCATGCGCAACTTCTGGGACAGCCTAAAACATGTCTCATAATTCCAGCACCTTCCCTAGATCGTTATTGCCCTAAGCTACCTTCACCACTCACCTCGAATCTGTTCGTAGTAGCCGGTCTTGCGCAAGCGAGCGGCTGCGTGCTAAATAGAGAACATTAGTTCAATAAATGCGATCAATAAGTTATTGATTGATGCACCACATATGAGACATGCTCTATTTTAGACAGAATACTTACCTGTAATGCCGCACTGTCCACTGCGGGACGGGTCTTGTCGGACGGCGCTGGAAACAATCAACATTTAATGCGGCGATCAAGAATCGTCAATCGATAGCGATCAATTTATCGATTTACCAGGTATGGAATTGTTGTTACGTCGCTGTGACTGCGCTGCCTTCCACCCGCCAGATGGTAGTGTCGTTGACTAAAAAAGATCAGAGGGCAATTTCAATTGAGTATAAAAACTGATCAATATTTTCATTGTGCAGAAAAAGCGATGTATTGATTGATGCGCGACTTCTGGGACACCGTGCAGCGCTGTTAACCGACGCTTGACGGTAATTTTCTATATGAGATTTGGGAGCTCGAACCTAAGTCTAATTGCGGTATTGCTATTGGAATTTTAGGATGTTGTAGTCCCTTAATTTATCGATTTATTGATCCGGTAGGTTCTTGAAACGTGAAATCTTCAAGGGCAGACCATCTCCACCTATTTCTTCCTGAATGTTTTTTTTTCATCAACGACAGCTGTTTTAGCGTAGGATAAAAAATGCTCTTCACATATTTCCTGGGTTTATCTTGATCAAGTAATCAATATCGATTGGTTTATCGATAAGAGTTCTACTCTTTAGTAGATTGTCTTTTTTCGGTTATAAGACCAATGCAAAAAAACGCATTTCGTGGATATGGAGTGGTATTTTCAACGATTTCTCTCAAATTTACCAATAAATCAATAATAATCACTCACGGATAAGAGTAGAGGGGGTGGAGGAGGCGGTGGCGGGGGTCCCATAGTTCGTCGTCAAATGGAAATGGAGCTGGTACGTGCACGTATGAACGAGCTCGAGTGAGTCTAAATGAACATGTAGAAAAATCGATAATTGATCTATCATACCGTATCTACTTACGAATATTTTCGAAGATGAAAAATAGAACGTATCAATAAGCTGAGTTCTTTCAAAGTAAACAAACACCACGAAACAGCTGTTAGCTAGGTATGGGTCACCGGTTCAGATTGGGGTACCGTGGGGGTTCATTTTGAGGACCACTGTTTCGTCCCAAGAACCAACTCCGCCCACGTTCGTTCAGGCCGACACAGACCCGTATGAGCCACATGGGCCCGAAGTGTAGGCGTAATAATCGATTTGTAACAAATATAGACTTTTTCAAGGTGAGCGGGGATAAGGTAACCAGATGACACGTTATTCAATTTTTTGATAAACGTTATTGGACCAACTCTGCACAACGACTTGCGCCAAGAGGGCACACTATCCGGTGAAGATCAAAACGAAGGCTCAAAAAAGGTTACCTTGGTGAAGGATAGTGGGGCAGTGGTGAGAGGTAGCTCATGTCCGTTACGTAACCGAATGGAGGGATCGAAACGCCAAAGCCAACGACAGCAACAACAGCGGCTAGCTCTTACACTCAGGCCGGAGGGTCGACGCACGCTCGTTCATTCCTCAGCCATCTCCCCATCGCCCACACACAAATGCTATCTCGTCGAGATTACAAATATTTCGCAGCTCCGTGGAAAACGCCACCAGCCGTCAAGGAAAACCTCGGTGTTTTGCCACGATTTTTATGAGTTGAGCAGTGGGTGATGTGGATGGGGAAAGAAACGGAACTCAATCAGGTTCAAGGAGGATCGGCTAAACACCGACTGTCGTGGCGACCGCCATCCACTTTGGAACATCTTCGGGCGGAAGGGGTTGTAGGGAATTATGAGGTGTTAGCGTAATCAAGGGGTCCAGGGGCCACGATCTGACGTCCCCTATGTAAAAATCGAGGTCTCAACGGTTGCAAAGTAATTTCCCACCTTTAACACCCTTCCCTACTTTTTTTTGCAGTTTGCCCGTTTCCTCACTATTCTAATTTCAGTCATGGTGACAAACTTTTCAGTTCAGAATTCGAAAGTGGCTACCAGAACCATCAATGAATGGGTCGGTGACAAATACGATCGGAAACCGGAATATCGGCAAAATCAGATCGTGATTAATTGTGATTCCTTCAAGACCGAACTATGACCCACAACGGTAATCGAATTTACAGCACATTATGACATCGCTTATCTGCTGGCTTTGTTTGCTTTGTTCACCCCTTCCCTACTCACGGCTAGTGTACCCCCCTCGACATCTGTCAAAATTATTGAAATGCGCCTAAATGTTATCCATTCTTGACTGCATTTTCCCTGACGAAGTTATACGATCCCAGAATGTTGAATGGGACTGGCACACAGTCAGAAATGCTGACGGCAAATGTGGGCACCAAAACTGCCACGTGAAGTTTCCAAGCAAGTAGAGAATTGACAAAGTAGCACGAAATAAAACGTCAGTGAATAAGGGAGCTAATTTATGCGCATCAGCGCTTTCAGTTTTCTGTGAAACATTGCCTATAAGGAATAGATGGCCTGATTACGAGAATGACGTTCATTTTTGGTCCAAGAGGTCTGCTCACAACTTACTTAAAATGATCCATGGCGGTAGGTGGTCTATCGATTTATCTGGCGTCTTACCTTACCTTACATGGGAAGTTGACAGCCTTTTTTAGGGTGAAAGAAAATTTTGAATCCAATGATAGCACTGTGCAATCTTTACAAAAATAGTAATCAGCAGACTTTTCAAGTGTTCTCATTATGAGGCAGGGTGTTCTCTCAGCAACGATTATTTCCAAATTTGGACGCTTTGTAGTGAAGCGTCAGCAATAGGAGATGCATCCCCTTAGCAGGTTTTTTTTATTCGTTGATCAAAGATTTGATTTTTCATGTTAATATCTTTTTAAGCGCTTTTTGGTGCGTTTTCGGCGTGGAATGAGATGAAGTGGTCCGTGCCAGTGGTAAATGGGCTGCTTAACGCCGCTGCCGCGAATCCGTGGATCAGATCCTGTTGGCTCGAGCTGTCTTCGAGCCAAGCGAGCCTTCCAAGCACGAGGGTCAGACTTACCAGTGACAACGATTTGCTTTCGAGTATGAAAACCCTCGGCTTGCTACTCCGGCTGTCCTTATAAGTCAGTGAGAGGCAATTAATAGGTCATTGCGCAGGCCATCGAATTCAAGTACACCAACACTGGTTACTGAAGAGGAGTAAAATGCGTGGCCTCGATTCGAACAGTTGGGTCGAGCCTGCCTTATTTCTGCTCATTCCTGTTGAACGGACGTTAATCTACCCCTTGTTAAGGTACGCAAAGCCTTCAAACCTGTGGTGGAATTCAAGCGCACATTCTGTCTAGGCAGATTTGCATGGCAAACCAATGTGTCAGTGAATGTATCCTCCCAGACCAATCTATCACTAGTTATCGACTCCTTTGGAACACAACTTGGGACATGGACGGAATCTCGATCTGTAATCGGAGTAGTAAGGGTGGGCATGGTCGGCTACTAGTGCCCTTGTCTTGCATGGCGCCAAAAAAAATTAATGAGCTGTGCCAAAAATTTTCGCATATTTGCCAACTGCAACAATGTGCCACCGTTATGAATTCAATATCTCCTCGAAGAACCATCGACAATATGATGAATGCCCAAAATTGAAACTCGCTATGATAAGCCGGAAAAAGAAACAGAAGCGCTTTCCCCATTTACTTTTAATATTTTTCCAGTAAGGGAAACGTGTTTTGTTGGCAGAAAACTTACATTTGGCTCGAAATTTCGACATGATCGTCTGTCTTTCAAAATTTCGAACCTGGCTTAAAAGTTGGGCGTCTTCGCAACAGTTTTTACTCCAAACACGGGAAGCCACTCTTATAGCGTTTTGGGTGGAACACAAGGAAATATGCTTATGCTTCCTCGCTTTTTTTTCATTCTTTTTTCGCCACCTAAGAAGCCGCTCCCTTCCTCACCATTGCAGGTGCGATTCGTTGCCAACTCTCGAAATGTGCCTAGAATGAGCCCTCCCCAACGCAGGCGACAAGAAAAGGGACAATCGTCATCGTCCGATCTCGTCTCGGTATAGGCCATTTATCCGACTCCACACTCGAACTGTAGAATCTTTTGGAACGTGTAACACATATGATGATGACTGTTGACAGAAACTATATTGTAGTGAACACATTTTGTAACCCCTGTAACTTAAGGAACAATGGCCAGGGCTTTCCAGAACTAATGCCGTTTAGCGTGAATAACACACAGCGTATTTGGGGCGAGTGAGCGGGTCTCGATAAAGGAGGGCCTTTGCAGCACGTGTACACATTTGGCCCCGTTTCTTGCGGAGGTGCAATTCCACTTGTAGTACATTCAAATATTATATCATGTTTTACCATATCCTCGTTTTCTGCTGCGCTACATACTTTCCCTCCTATTTGCACCACGATGTCGCTGATCTTACTGGCCAAACGAGTACGACTCCCAATGATCCACCCTGACAAATACGACCCCCTTGTCAAGGTTTTCCTCGACCGATATTCACCCTGCTGGGTACTGTAGAAATGAAAACCAAAATTGCTTCTATAGCTCAGAAAAAGGAAAACAGAGGTGAAGCAAATGAAAGCAAGGCGAAAAGATCTGGAAAATTTGAAAAAAAAAAAAAAAAACGTTGTGAAAATGAAGAGGGGAGTCAAGTACACGAGTTATAACCGCGAAACCGGTGAAGTATGGCAGAATCCATCATGCGTTTGATTGCTTCATGACTTCTAACGGCAATTGCATACAAATAAGCCTCCTGTACCATTAATCAAAGCGTATGTCGCATGTAAGGGGATTGGTAGTGATGGATTTAAAATCGCGAGAAACCTCCTCTCTCGTCAGAAAGGGGACTTCGGTACAGTGTCAGACGGGAGGAGAGAGTGCAAGGTGCATGACGACTCTCACTTTGAAGTTTATTTGAAATTCCTGCCCTCCCATAAGCTTACTCCTATCTATCCGTATGCCCCGTATCTTGAAATAGCGCCATTTATAATTCAGCCTAAACAATGTCTTGGGGACCAGGCAATGTACAGCTCAGGGTTCTTGCATGTTTTTAAGAGTTTAGTGCCTGGTTACCGTTCAAGAAAAGGATGAAACGATTAGGTGGTCTGGACACTTTCGATCCGAGATTAAAACCCGGGACCATCAGGCATGGTGAGGTGTGGCACTTGTTTACATATCACCGTCATCCTCTTCCTTTAGGCTTTGAAAAGACTTCTGCTAAAGAATAGTCACCAAGTGAACAAAAAACGCTGCCTACTTGAAGAGGTTAAATAGTTGATTCCGGAAATTCTGACTGTTTTGTCTACTCGCGACGATGTGCTCATGAAATGCAAGAACTCAACTCCTGCTTGCTTCCTCCTTTACTCACGCTAAATGGGTTATGGTAGTTTCCTTGTAAATTGCGCTTGTTTCACATAATATTTCTCAACTCTTCCCTTGCCCACAAATAATCTCTCACTATTGACTTGTAAAGTACCCTCAATCATTAAAAGTCGCTGCTTCTCGAGCCAATCACTATAAACTATTTTTTTGACGGACTGCTGGCCTTAGGTTGGAATTCTTAGCGTTTATGACTTATTCAGCAACCACCTCGCAAAAGATTCCCAGTAGAAAACTCGAGGCATTTGGAAGTGTAATCAGCCTACACAAAGAACTAAACTTTGACGAAACAATCAGTGTTCTATGGCCAGGGAAAAGTTATTAGCCGAGACTTGATGGATGGGATGCCTGCTTGAACTCGGTATCCGATTCGTCTTGGCGCCACTGGCGTCACTTCTGCATTAAAATTATCAAGATGGGTGGCTGAAGATGGCGTAGAAAACGAGATATGTGAATGAATGGAATAAATAAGGTGAGGAAAAGAATGTTTGGGTGAGGTGATGAATTGCGAGGGCGAG